AAGAAGGGAGCGGGGGGGGGGAGGAAGCGGCCCGGGGCGGAGCCCCTCTGGCGGCCGTGGGTGGACGTGTTTCGGGGGGATACCCCACGTCTACCGCACAGGGAGCAAGCAGACCCCTGTGCTTAGGGCCCCGGGCTGGGACCCGGTGGAGAGGGTGGGCCCGGGTCCCCCTCCCCTCCTGCCACTGTAGGGAGTTGAGAGGTGCTCCAGCGCTGGTGGGCAGAAACCTCCAGCAAAGTTTCCAGAGCACTCACCCCCCCTCCTCGCCCTTGAAACTTTGTTCTCTGAAGGACTGTTTTGAAAGTTTTTTCCTAGAATTGCCCCAGGAGGGGGCGGGGCGGGAGAGGTGTTAGGAAATCCAAAACACCCCCACACTTCTTCTCAGTTTCCTCCCTTCAGCTTTTTATTCTCTCGTTCCTCCTCCCAAAAAAAAGAGGGTGTGAAAAGGAAAACAGATGCTTCAGGGGGTAGCCGAGTTAGTCTGTAGAGGATAATCTTAAAAAACAAACATTGGTCTGGGAGCACTTTATAGACTCACAGAACTAAATTAAAACAGGGAGGGAAAGTGGGGAAATAAAACACTTTCTCTGCCCCCCAAGGCTTTTATCGCATGTAGGGGAGGGGACCCAGAGATTCCAAGGGACTGTTATGGTCATCTAGTCCCACACTGAGCAGGCTTGAGGCAGGAGCCCCTGCTTGGGTCCGGCCCGTTGTTCCTGGATCACTCTTTAGCTGAGGCAGCCGGCCCCTGGGCCCAGCACCCCACGGCGCCTCAATCCATCGTGACCCCACCTTCCAGCTCCGCTCCAGCACTCAACAGTGTTTATGTAGTTCCCAACCTAGAGCAAAACTGTTAGTGTTTTGAGCCGCTATAAATCCACCCAGCCCTGCATCCTGGTGCCTCTCCCCACCACGGTCTGGCAGGCGTGCCAGGAGTTCCCCCTCACATATGTTGCCTCTAGGGGCTTCTGGTTACCTGCTATTCCCAGGTCTGTGAGGGCAGTGGCGTCTAGTAGTTAAAACAGGAGGGGATCTGGGAGTATCTGCACCTGTTCCCAAGTAATGTCCCTTTCAGACAAAGAGCAACGTGCAGAGGCACCCAGCTCTCTGTGTGTGTCTAGTGACGTATCCCTGGGGCAGTGGGGCCCAGTGGTGAGAACCAGACAAGTGCAGACAGATGCCACTGTGTGACCACAGAGCCAACAACTGCTACTCATGTGGATTGAGAAATGCAAGCTTCTGAGTTCTCTGAGAAACCACAACACGGAGATCTCCCCGGGGTTATGAAAACCAGAACCCGGGCTGGTAGGGAAAAGGTGCATGGAGCCAGGCCATTCCTGACCCAACCCCTGCTCCATGCCTGATCCTCGTCCTGCACTCTGCTCCCCTCATTTTCAGCCCCACACCTAAGTCCACACCCCCAGTTGGAGCTCCTCATGCCCCAATTCCCTGCCCCAGCCCTGAGTCCCCTCCCAGCCTCCGTACCCCTTTGCTCTATCCCGGAGCTTCTACCTGGAGCCCACACCCCCAGCTGGAGCCTTCACCCCTTCCTGAATCCCAACTCCCTTCCCAGAGCTGGGGACACAAGTCAGGACTCCTTTCTCCCAACCCTTCCAACCCAACCCGACTCTAACCCACTAGATCTCACTCCAGCCCCAAAGGAAAAAAAATCTTGATTGGACAAGAAATAATTTCTATATTTAACATGTAGCAACAGTCACTGCCCCTGGGGGGCACCAGACCCACTAGTGACGTCAGGAGGTGCAGCATGTTGCACGGAGATCTCAGCTCTGGAGATGCACACCCATGCACCGTGCACCCCCCCACCACATGATGATCCAGCGTCCCTTTGGCATCGCCACTGTGCCACCGAGGGGCCTTAGTGGAAGCAGCTCAGGCTTCAGACTTTTGTTTGCAGACATTAGGTGTTGAGTGGCCCAAAAAACACAGGAGGTCATGAGAGCCTGGAACAGACCCACAGGGACCAATGTCTGTTGTAGGTGAGGCTGCTAAATCCACCCTCCTGCAGGATAACAGCCCTACTGACGCTGCAAAGGGCATGCTGCCTTTGGATCCCACCAGCCCTTCCCTGCGGTGCTGAAGTCCTGCATTCAAAGCCTGCTCAGTAACAGTCTGCCCACTACTGCCACCAAGTGGTGCCAGCAATTCTGCTTGTGTACAGTGTCCTATGTTGATGGGGAAGGTCCACAGTAGCCCTTCCCTGTGGTGCTGAAGTCCTGCATTCAAAGCCTGCTCAGTAACAGTCTGCCCACTACTGCCACCAAGTGGTGCCAGCCATTCTGCTTGTGTACAGTGTCCTATGTTGATGGGGAAGGTCCACAGTTCAAATCCTTCCCATCCACATGACAGATAGCAGCCTTACTACTGCTGTCAGCGCTGCTCCCAGCTCAGGTGGAAGTGTTCTGGGCTGCAGGCTCTTGCGTTCCAATCCCACCGAGGCAGGAACTACATTTCCACAGAGGCCAACACGCGCTAATACCAAGGAGGAGGGGTTCTCCGTAGCTCAATGAGATTAAACTTGGGGCCCCTCAAAGATTCTGGCCCTTGTTTTATCTCCCACTAAAAGGCTCCTCCAAAACCAGAGAGGCCCAGCCCGGCCTGTTTGCCCTCCCTCCAAAAACTCCTCTTTGTTCCCCCTTCCAGCTTGCTCGTGGGCCCAGACATGGAGGAAGAAAGTCCAGGAGTGGGTGGAGCGTGCTGAAGGGACTTTCCTACAGAAATAGGCTGATGTTTCATTGGTCATTCGGGAACCAGCTGTGACACCATGGCAACCCTGCCACTGACAGAGGCTGGATCATCGAGGAAGTTGGGCCACCCACTGCAACGCTGAATGTGGACAAAGTCTGGTGGGTGCTTGGCTGACTACTCATGGCTGGAGCTGGATTAATTTTTGTGGGCCACAGCACCCCAACTGAATCCTAGGATTGGACAAGACCTCAGGTCTTCATCTAGTTCATCCCACTGCTAAAAGCTGGACCAATCCCAACTAGGGTTGCCAGATCCCTTCACAAAAAATCCTGAAAAAAAAAAAGAAAAAAAAAAGAATTCCACATTTGTTGAGAAAAAAAAAAAAAAAAAGGTCGCTGTGCCTTTAAATTCACGCGCTCCTCGCTCCCCCCACTCCCGCCACAACCTTGTCTGGTATTTTCTGGGTTTCTTTACCTGACAGAAGATGCAAATACCGGACTGTCCAGGCAAAATGTGGATATCTGGCAACCCTAATCCCAACTAAATCATCCCATTCAGGGCTTTGTCAAGCCAAAACTAAAGAGTGTCTAGGGATGGAGATTCCACCACCTCCCTAGGGAACCCAGCCCAGCGCTTCCCCACTCTCCTAGGGAAATAGTTTTTCCTAATATCTAACCTAGACTTCCCCCACTGCAACCTGAGACCATTGCTCCTCATTCTGTCACCTGTCACCACTGAGAACAGCCTCTCTCCATCCTCTTTGGAACCCCCGTTTAGGGAGTTAATGGCTGCTCTCAAATCCTCCCTCAGTCTGCAGAATAAACAAGCCCAAATCCCTCAGCCGCTCTTCATAAGTCACGTGCTCCTGCCGCCTAAATCATTCTTGTTGCCCTCCACTGGACTCTCTCCAGCGTGCCCACATCCTTTCTGAAATAGAGGGCCCAGAATTGGACACAATATTCCATATGTTGCCTCACCAATGCAACATAAATGGGAACAATTCTTTCCTAGATCTGCTGGCAATACTCCTTCTAGTGCACGCCAATATGCTGTTAGTCTTCTTGGCTACAAGGTCACCCTGTTGGCTCATATCCAGATTCTTGTCCACCGTAACCCCCGGGTCTTTTCCTGCAGACTTGCAGCTCAGCCAAGTAGGTCCCCGGCCTGTACCAGCGCTTGGCATTCTTCTGTCCCAAGGGCAAGTCTCTGCACTTGACCTTGTTGAACCTCCTCAGATTTCTTTCGGCCCAAACGTTCAATTTCTCTGGGTGACTCTGGACCCTAAGCCTGCCCTCCAACGTATCTACCTCTCCCCCTTGTTTAGTGTCATAAGTGGGCTGGAAGGGGAAGAGAGGTTTGAGCAAGGGTGGATGGGGGAAAGAGAGAAACATGGGGGAGAATATGAGAGGACACTGAGGATTACATGGGGTTAGCAGATAAGAGATTGAGGGGGGCGGGGAATGGAGCAGATGGGCCGGAGCCATGTGCCTGGTGTTGGGTGCCTGGTGCCTTGGCAGCAGCAAAGGAAGGCCCTTGACATCACCAACTTCACATTGGTCAAACTCCCAGCCAGTGACCCTGAAGCTCGTGTAGGCCAACGCCCAGTGGCAGCTGGGTACCAGCTCCAAGCCCCGCTGCATGCTAGTGTCTCAGCAAAGCCCACGGCCCTCTCGTGAGGCACAAGGAAGAAGGGAAGATGCGACCCTAGCACAAGTGCAGGATCGCTTGCCGCTGCAGAGCCTGGGACAAGCAATGCTCTGGAGAGGAAGCAGAGGGGTGGTCTCATCCGAGGACTCACACCATCGATTCCTCAGCCTTGTCCCCACTGGCCACCTCCACCTCGCTGATCCCTTCCTCAAAGCGAGTCAACCAGGGGAGATGGCACCGGGCCGTGAGGGCGCTGAGTTTGTGCCTCAGGCTGGCCAGGCATTTGGCAAAGGCCTGCTGGACAGCAGTGGAGGAGAAGTAGAAGACGACGGGGTCCAAGGAGGCATTGAGGGTGGTGAGGAGAAGAACGTAAACCCTCCAGCAGGGGCTCTCGTTCCGGACAAAGCCCACCACATGGGACACATTGTAGGGGGCAAAACTGACTATGAAGTTGACCAAGGTGGCCACAGCCAGGCCTAGAGCTCGATGCTTCCGCTGGGCCCGGATTTGGGGCAAGGCCAGGAGGATGCGGACAAAGTTGACGTAGCAGAAGACAGTGATAGTGAAGGGGAGGCAGAAGAGGACGATGAAGAGCTCCAGACGGACAGGAAGGAGGATTTGGAGCTGCATAGGGGTGAAATTTTCATAGCAGTGGGACTTCTCAAAGGGGGATGTCGTCCCGTTGGAGGAGCTTGAGTTGTCTTTGTACTGGACAATGTAGACGATGCTGCAGTGGCTGCAGGCCACAACCCAAAAAAACACAGAGGCGGCGATGGCATAGGCTGGCCGGCGCCGGAGCTTGTACTTGATGGGAAAGGCCACCCCCAAGTAGCGCTCAACACTGATGGCCATGAGGAAGAGGGAGCTGATGTAGATGCTACCGAAGTAGATGAAGCTGGTGAGTGGGCAGAGAAACTTAGGCAAGGGCCACTGCATGCCGGAGGCGGCCTCCACCATCTTGAAGGGGAGGAAGATGAGGAGCAAGATGTCGGAGATAGTGAGGTTGAGCAGAAGGATGTCGATAGGGGTGGGTTTGTGGCGGACCTTCACCAGGAGGGCGTAGAAGGCCAGGAGGTTGGATGGGAGGCCAATCACGAAGGTGAAAATATAGATGGTGAGTACCACGGGGATGGAAATGTTCAAATTCATCTTCTTGGCTCCTACAAAAGGAACGGGCTTGTCAGCTGCTGCAGGAACACAGGAGTCCAATCCCCCCAGCTCCAAACCACTTCATCCCTCGCTGGTCCTCAGTATCCCAAAGCAACACCTAGGAATCTGTACTCCCCAATGTCACATCTCATAGGAAACCTGCCAAGTCAGAGAGCCTATAGAAGGTGATCTTTGGAAACCCATCATGGGTCAGTAGTGGGCATGAAGGGATAAGATTTTGCTGTCTGTGTGTAACTGCCACTGTGTGGATTTGAACCTGTGACCTCTGGAGTTGAGTATAGGAGCTTCTACCCTCCGAGCTAAAAGCCAGCTAGTGCTGAACCCCTGCTATAGAGGTCTCTTAGTGTTATCTGCTGCTGTCGTCTAAGTGCCACGGCATGGGGCAGTGAACCACACTAGGGC